ATCAGCCCCGTGCAACCCACCTCATTTCCCTCTGCCCATCACACCCAATCCACATGTCTGGCTTTGATCACTGAGCTGCTGCTGTGGGACTGTGATGGGTGTAGAGGCCTGGATCTTTCCCCCTGGTTCCCCAAAGAGACCTCAGCCCAGCTGCTTCCTCTGCCTGCAAAATGATGGAAACGAGCAGGATCAGAGCGTTCAGCGCATCACTTACCAGTTTGCTTAGAGCAGCGTTTGTTGAAATGATGTCTCCTGTGGTTATTGCATCATGCTGCTGTTAAATGCTTTGCACACAAGAGAATTTTTGTAGTGATAAATATGCCACATTTGATCCTTGTAAATAAGCCTGTATTGTAGTAATTTTTCAAATGATTTTGGTCCATCGTGTAATGTGAAGTCTTTTTGCTTGTGTCATGCAAAGGCCACATTTCAGAAAACAAGACTCTTGTCCCGGGGAAACATTTTCTCTTGTCCCAGGACACATTTGTCCCAACAAATAGAACAAAATCTAAATGAAATGCATGGACTTGTGTCAAATTTCAACACTTTGGTTATCACCCTGTTGGTCTTTCATCAGGATGATTATAACACTTTTTGTTTTAATATCTTCATTATAATTTTTTTTTTTGCACATCATCAGAGAAGAGAAGATAAGTCAAGAGCAAGGAGAAGATTACAGATAATGAAACAGAAAAATAATTTATAATTAAAGCTGCAAGCAGCGATATTCCATAAAAAATAAGAATTGTCAGTTTTGATTTCATTGTGACTTTAAGCACTTTAAATGAAAATAGTTATTAAATAGTGTTACAACACTGCCCGTCTGTTAAAAAAGTGTTATGTAACACACGTTAACCTGATTGCATTGTTTTTTTTGCTGGTTAACCACATTTTGAGAATTAGTTAGTTTGGAGAATTAGGCTTGAGAGTCTGTTCATCAGGGCAGTGTTAAAAGTTAACAAAAATTCCAAGTTTTCTGAGAGCGAGTATATTGGTCACTGCAGTCCTGTCCCGGCTCTATTGTCAAAAACGTCTGTGATGAACCACAGCTGCTTCCTGTTAGAGAGAATGTGAAGTTGTGAATGTGAAGATGTGAATGTTTCTCCGGTCACGGTGTTGTTATGTCACTCATCTCCTCAGTGGGCCATTATTTTCATTGAGCTCTCTGAAACTGGAAATGTAGCCAAACTGAAGTCTCATCAAAAGAGTACCAGTAAATATACACGAAACAGCACAGGTGGGCTTCAGTTCTGGTTAAGTGCTTTATTTGGCTCATGCAAGGTCACTGGCTCAGGTCTTTGTTAGATTGGACCGCAGTCAGTGCATGAGTTTATTGCAGCTCAAACTCAGCCATTAATGCTGAAACACATTGAACACACATTCTGTTCCCACACAGATGATCATACAGCACAGGAGACCAGCTGCAGATAAGCCCTGTTACATGGGCTGTATTAGAACCACATGCTAATAGAATAAAGGACAGAAAAAGGCTGTAGGAGTGGAGAGCATGACGACAGACACTTAGTGACTTAATATAGCTGATGAATGGTCGCAAGAGTCACAGCATAAAGCAACAGTTAAACATTTATAATCACAGGAGGGATCTACTATCCCCAGATCCATTGCAATGCAATTTTTACTTGAGCAAATATGTCAAAAAAGATTTGTCTTGAATTAGGTCTACTTTTTATTTTTATAGATAAATAATTTTAAAAAGTCTTAATATCTGTGTTCCTCCTGAGTAAATTCATCTAGTTTTTTAACAATGTTTAGGTTATTTTTTTACTGGAAAACAAGTCAGAAAAGACTAATTAAAAGTTAATCAGGATGAATTTAAAGATGTATTTTCTGAAAATAAGTCTTTTTACCTTAGGCTTTTAATCTTTTTAATACTATTTATTTATAGTGCAGCAGTGAACTATATGTAATTATATCTAAAATCAGCATGAAACTGAAGTTGCCATTGTCGTTTCTACCTTATTGTGACATACATACGAGTGAAACGGCTTCTCCATCAAGAAAAAAAAATATATAGGGCAGGACTTGATTTTATCCATTCGAAATTGATTGGATGGTTGTGGTTTGCTATTGCTGTGATGTCATGTGAGTGACAGGTTGATCCACCCTCACACCAGTAAACACGCATCAGAAGATGAGAGATGCCATTACAAGAGGTAAGGGAAGTTGTATTGATTAAATATCACAAATATTAATTCATATATATATATATAATAAATACGGCAAAGTTCCATAAAAAAACCCTTATTGTCAATTTTGATTTCATGGTGACTTTAAAGTTTTTTTTTTTTTTTTTTTTACAAGACTTGTATAGTAGAAATGTTTGGCAATGAGTGTGAAACATTCCTAAAATTCTCATCCAATGCTTGTTAAATCAATGAATTCTCCATTCACAGCCTGAAACAGAACAGATGCAAAGGTCAAACAAGGCCTGACACATGCTGAGAGTGACAGACAGACTTAACTAATTGGTCCAAACAGAAAAGGTGACTATTACACATGCATGAGTCTTTACACAGCCTGATGAGTTCACTGACAGAACCAGGATGAATGTGATGTGAAGTTCAACCTTGCCCCCTCTCTCTCTCACTCTCTTACACACGTCTTTCTTCTCCCACCATTTCGTGTTAGTGTTTATGACCACACATACTAAAATGCAGGGCCAAGTTCCACAGGGCAAAGCTGTGTGTTTTATATAGAAAACACTAAAAGCGAAAACAAGCCGAGATCACGAAGGAGAGCTTCGAGGAGGAGATGTGGAGGGTGTGCGTGTGAGAGTCTGGGCTCCTGCGGGTGTCCTGCAGAGATATCTTATACCTGCCAATCCTTCGCTGGCTTTTTTTACTGCTCGTGGTTTCTCCTGCCCAAACCCAAGACGTTTTACTGTTTTCTATTTTATGTTACTTGCTGTTGACCTTTTTTCCTCCTCCAAGCCAACTTTTATGTGACATTATGGTTTTTCACAGTGAGGTTGTCTGAGTCTTGTTCTGAGACAGATCGTTATCGTTACTTTTTTGTTGCTGTTTTTTGGTTTGTTGAGCAAAAACTGAGGTCATTTAGAAGTCATGACACAAAGTAGGTTTTAGCATTGTGTGGAGCACCATTATCACTATTTCAAGGTTATTAGCCATGAAGCCATTACAGGATAGTTCATGATCAACTTTGATGTTGTGAATCGTGAACAGCTATTGTGAATTCATCAGTAGGATTGTTGTGCCCTCTGCTGGTTAGTGAAACTAATTGCAGTTTCCACACTGTTTACATCATGCTATCGATTTTGTAAAGTAAACTCAGCAAAAGGATATTGTATTTTAAAGATAATTTTGTAAAATCCAAATAAGCTTTATAGATCTTTATTGTAAATGGTTTAAACAATGTTTTTCAATGAGCCATTAACAATTGCATATGCACCTGTGGAATTTTTTTACATACAAAAAGAAAAAAAAAGTGCCTTGGTGGAAGAGTGGAGTAACATCTCACTGCAAGAACTGGCAGATTTCGTGCCATTCATGAGGATGAGATGAACTGTATTTTTACACAGGGTCTCATTGATAAAATGTAAAATGTACATGAATATATATGTTAAATGTTGTAGACAAGGAAGGATAAAGAAAATGTCTTAACTCTCCTGCAAATCTCGAAGGAATTTAAGTGATTAACATGCATGATAAAGAAAAAAATTTGCTGAAAAAGTTTGTTGTACACATTTCTACACCATCTAATACATGCCTCTTATTGTCTTTAGCAAGGTAAAAAGGCCTTTATCATTCTAAGAGCACCCCCCTCCAGATCGCGGTACTCATGTTTTACTGATTTATAAATATAAAGTAAATATAAGAATAACTTTTTATATTGCTAGCAATATTTCAAGATGAACACTCACTAGAAGCAACTTTATCCATACATCATTTATTTATTTATTTGTTTAGAAAAATCATGTTTAAATGGTAGTATCAAATATGATATACTGTACATGAGGCTTTAGAAGATTGTTTATACGTCTCTCAATTGTCATTGTATTGCACTGCATTATGTTTGGAAAAGTTAAAACTACAGAGCTTTGATCATAAAACTATTTAAATATTATCTTATAAGTCATAACATTGGGAGATATTGACAACTAAACTGATATTTATATGCATTTTATGTAAGTAGAGCGATACTGTTATAGATTTACATTGATTTACATTAGCCTACATCAGAAATTCACCAGGTGTTTATTCCTCCTTGAGTATAGGCCTAGGCCCCTAAGCCATTTTCTTATATGAGCAATAAAAGCCTGATGCATAAAATACGAAACTCGAGAAAAGACACATATACAAACTTTTTTTTTTTTTAGATTATTTTAAATAGGTTGTTCTTTTTTAAAAAAGAGAGCTTTACAGTGTCAAAAATATAGGAAAGAGACAAGTAAAGGACAGGTAATAGCCTATGCAGATACAGGTAAAAGGCCTTACAGATTTAAAGGATGAAGATAAATGAAAAACGTGAGAAATAAGATTTACATGATAATTAAAAAATGTTTAGCCTATACATTTTGGCTTCATCACGGTCTCCTTTCCACCAGTAAGCCGGTGTGTGGTGTGGTGGGCGTTCTAGCACAATAATGGCTGCTGTCGCATCATCCAGGTGGATGCTGCAGTGCACACTAGTGGTGGTTGAGGAGATTCCCCCTTCTATGTAAAGTGCTTTGAGTATAAATGTAACTTGATTAACATTATTATTTTATGTTTATATAAATATAGGCTAGGCCTATTTTTTGATATGGACTGTATCATTTAGCCTATACATGCAAATACAATACAATGATAGATTTAAAAGCACTTTAGAAGGCACTTTATTCCCAGTAACTATTTTCACAGTTGCATTGCTAAAGTTAAAGAAATTTGATCAGAGTTCTAGAGGATTTTCAGCAAACATCCGCGTTACGTAAATCTGAACATTGAAACTATTTTGACCCTCCGCGCTTTCCATACCCAAAACAAACTTCACATAGCTGTCAACTTCAATCGCGAGCTTTCACTTACTTTCAGATATCAAAAGCCGACTCTCCCTTAAGCTTCTGTAGAAATTAAATGTCACACATTTCGCGAAAAATACAGTGAAAAGTTTTGTAAATAGACTTATTGAACGCAAGCGAGCGTAACTTTTTTTTTGCTCTGTTGGGCGGTTTCAATGTGATTTCGAGTTAGTAATGCGTGCGTGAGGACGTTTGTGTCAGCAAATTTCGCTTGTAAAGCCCGCTTAATTCACCATTTGATCTGAATTTAGTTACTAGAGTGGCTGTCACACCGTCTAAAATAATGGATTAAATAATGCTGATGGAGGAACAGAGCAGGTGCGTTGCAAATTTCTGTTATAAAGTGACATTTTTTAAAGAAAAAAAAAATTACTTGTTACTTGTTCTCCCTCGTGACGTAAACACGTATGCTGTTATTTTCCCACACAGTTGAACCCAAAATTGATTTTTGAAAGATGTTGACCTCTTTATATACACATTAAAAAACGAATGCGTTTGTTTGTTCGATCGTTCGTTCTAGCTCTGGCGAAGATGAGGGCTCTAGAGAGAAAGGTGTGCTCTACAGATGGCAGGGCTATTTCTGCGGTGTGACCCCAGAGAGACTGCTTCTGTCCAGGCCTGTGCGTCATGCTGCCCTGGGAAATGTACATGGACTTCTCCTGACGGAAGGTCAGATCTCTCTTGAAACGAGAATGAAACGACGAGATACATAGTTGTGGTCATAAGTTTACACGCACTTTGCAGAATCTGCAGAATGTTAATCATGTTCACAAAATCATAAAAATAGGTTGTTGTTTTTATTTAGTACTATCTTGAATAAGATATTTCACATAGCAGATAGTCCATAAGACCAAAAGAATAACTAAATCTAATACAAACATCCCATTTAAAAGTTTACAAACGCTTGTCTTAGTACTATGCCATTGCCCCGATAATACATGACTGTTTACATGTTTCGGGATTGTAAGTTGTTTATGAGTCCTTTGTTTGTCCTGAGTACCTGAAAGTACCATGGAATTAAATTTAAACTTGTTTTTTTTTTAATGGAATATTGCAGTATTTATTATAAATTATTTATCAATGGTCGTGCACATAGGCCTATTATTTGGCCTACCTATTATGTGTCCTTGTAATATTTCATCAACTAACTTCCTCTCCCTCTTGCAGTGACATCTCTTCTCTAAAGTTTTTAGGCTCACATGAGATCACAGCATAGCAAACCACAACCATCCAATCAATTCCTAAGTTCCCCTCTGCCCTACATTTTTTTCTTGTTTGAGAAGCCAGGTATTTGAACTCATTTTTAGCGCTGTATGATTTTGAGATCAATCTTATTACATCAAGGACAGTTGATCTCATACATAACTATTACAAAAGGGTCAAACATTCTGACTGATGCTCAATAAAGCAACACAATGCAACAAGAGAAAAAGTTTTGAATACAATGATCAGAGTAAATTACAGGCAACTTTGGTTTCTGGGAAACATGCAAGTGTTTAATTTAGTTTCTGAAGGACAGTGCAAAATGAACTCATGACTGCAACTATTATCATATTTCATAGGATAAAATTCACATACATACATTCGTGTATAAATAACTATATACATATATACGTGTGTGTATATATATATATATTACACTCCTGAGATTAACTTAGCGTATACTACAGTACTGTAGTTTTTGATGCCGATAAATCTGTAATATTTAAAAATTTCATGGCTGTTTTCCACTCTCTCTCTCTAACCCTTTAAACATGTAATTGTTTTCTGTGGGAATAATACTTTCAAGCCATTTGAACTGCTTGGTTACAGTATTTCTAGCAATTTTAAGAATCTGAAGGACGTTCTCTGGATTTTGAAAGTTAGAAGAAAAGTATTCTTAAATACCTATGTCAATTTTCTTTTGGAAAATTGGGTATAGATTGAGATAAAGAGATTTCTCATGAAATCTTTTGGACACAGACTAATTGTCAAACGTATTCCTTTCTCAGATGGGCATGTGTATAGTTTTGGCGAGCAGCCGTGGAAACGAGTCAGCTCTCATCCTGCCGGCCCTGTTTTAGAGAGCGCGCTGAGAGAACAGCATGTGATCTCCGTGTCGGCGGGCAGCTATCACTCTTCTGCTGTAACAGTGGATGGGCACATCCACATGTGGGGCGAAAACTCCCATGGCCAGTGTGGCATCTCTGGAATGGAGCAGGTACCCAATCCCACTCCTGTCAGTGTGGTGGATGGTGAGACCCATCCACCGCAACTGGTCCAAGTCCTAAACGTGGCCTGCGGAGCGCAGCACACTCTGGCCCTGTCAAGAAAGCATGAGGTGTGGGCCTGGGGAAGTGGCTGCCAGCTGGGACTGGTTACCAGCGTATTCCCGGTATGGACACCCCAGAAGGTGGAGCATTTAGTGGGAAGATATGTGATTCAGATTGCTTGTGGTGGGTTCCACAGCCTAGCTCTGGTTCAGTTTCTTCCTTCCCCAGAAGCCAGTCAGCAAACTCGGGATAGATGTGGGCAGTGTAAGCAGAGCCTTTTCACCATGACTGAAAAGGATGACCATGTGATTATTTCCGATGAGCATTACTGTCCACTTGGAGTGGAACTGGCTGATACTAAACAAGGTCAAAGATCAGGACAAAGTTCTCCAGCTCGGACGCCAGAAACCAAAAACTTCTCGCCCAACTCCCAAGTATCCCCTCTCACCTCGAATAACATTTGTGCAGGCCAGGGATCCTCATTCGGATCTCAGCAAAATATCACAAGCCAGGAGACTCAACTAGACCTTGCTGTATCTGAAGTTGGGGATGTACGTCTGCGACGAACCAATAGCACTCCCTACCCTGATGAGCAGGCTCTGAAAGACTACCTCAAAAGGATTTCGGATCAGACCCTCGCTGAGCAGGCCGAGGCCACCTCAGTAGGAGGTTCCCATCCTCCGAGCCGTCAGACATCCCTCACGTGTCCTTTCCGATCAGACCAAAGTGATGAGCTTACATTACATCCCTCTTCACCTACACTGAGCAGACCTGATAGGATCGCAGCTTCTGTCAGACAACGCAGTGCATCAGATACTGTCACAGACCAGAAACACTCTCTCAATTTATTACCAACATTGGATTCCACTTCTGATGATTCTTCACAACACTCAAGTGTGGATGGAGGCATATGCATCAGTGACCTTTTAATCAGCAGTGGATGTTTATTTGAGTCCTGTGAGGAGGGCGGAGACACTGCTGGAATGGACTTCTGTCCAGCCAATTCTCTGCAAAGTAAGGAGTGCACCAGTCTTATGGACATCACATTAGAGGACACTGAAGCACAAGAACGCAGACAGTCTTTACCTGGTTTCTCTCCAGGTAAACCTTGTGGCTTTTTTAAAATATTTTTTTATATCTATATATAAGCTCTAAACTTTACATTCACATATAAGTTTACATGTGCATTAAATGTATTTAGTAAATATTAATTCTCCTGCTCCAAGCATTGAGCTCAGTCGGATTGATTGAGGTGTTTATTTGAAGGCTTTTCAGTTTGAGCCTTTAACTAATGGCTTAATAAACTGTTAGTAATTGGATTAATTACTAACTGATTATTTGGTTTAATGTAAAAGTCGCTATGAAATGTGTTGTCTTAATCAACCAATCAGGGTTTTTTTCTGATGGCCCAACTGTTGGGCCATTCATTTAGAATTTCACTTTTCATTCGGAATTCCATCAGGACTATTTGTACTAGCTAATCATCACCAAAAAAAAAAATATATATATATTTTATATGTGATAGTTTAAATTTACAAGGCAAAACAATATGCCTAATATTTTAAAAATTTTCAGTTGCAATGCAGCACTGGCCTAAAAGGCCTAAAATCTGTTTCAAGCTTATTATTGAGGCCAGCCACCAACATGGTAAAGCATGTCGAATACTACTTACTTTATGGAAACCCCCTTTTAGGGCTTGAAAAAGAAATGGCTGTGGCTGACTGCACACAGGGTATTTCTACAATGGCACTGAAAGCAGTTACTGAAAGCTTTTATTTTGCATGATGCTGCATCAATGTTAATTGTAGTACCAAGATCACTGTTGAAACTCTAAAATTATTAAAGTTACTTTAAAGGGACAGTTGACCCCAAAATAAACCATCTGTCAAATTTACTCACCCTCATGTTGAACTAACCCTTAAAATAACTTCTTGTAGAAATTTTACTTATTTAAGAACATTTGTATTACACTGTTTTGTTGAATTGCAGTGTCGCCTTCTGACAGTCATCGAACCAACAATTTGAGAGGTGCAGTGACAACAACCTCTATCTCAGAATCCAGAAATCTCCTTCCTTCCCTCTACACTGAGGTGTGGAGTTGGGGGAGGGGCCAGGAAGGTCAGCTAGGTCATGGAGACTATTTGCCCAGGTACAATATAGCCCTCATAAACACATAAGTGTTTTATTTATGCTTAACTGTTGGTTTCCTTGACCGCATGACTGGAAACATTTTTGTTTGCTCCTTGCAGGTTACAGCCTCTCTGCATTAAGAGTTTGAGTAAAAAGGAAGTTGTCAAGATCACAGCTGGAGCAAATCACTCCTTGGCGCTAACAGCTCAGTGTCAGGTGAGGGGCTTCAGAATATTTCTTCATTTGATTCTGCAGAATTCTTTCCAAAGAGTTGTAAGCCTTAAACCGAACCTAATGTTTGATGCATAGCAAAAATCTATATACATGAAAAAGATGCAAGACTGTATATATACTGTATATGAGGATATTACTTTTTATCCCATAAAGCATTGCAAATTTTAATGTATGATTTTCTTATCAGAAATCTTGCTTTATACAAACTTTACGTTGGTAGCTGCTAGCTAACGTTACCTTACCAGCTTTCAGATCGTCAACACAATCCGGCTTGTCATTGCCTTTGTTATGATAACAGCAAATTCTGTTATTGGTGAATGTGCCTAAAAACGCGTAGAAAACGCTGGGCACGCCGCATTCTCCTTTTTCCAAAACGCTAGGGCGGTTGCTCTCTGGTTGGTTCTTGTTACGTGACCTATTGTGCGCTTATGGTGTGCTTGCGGCATTCTGAAAAGTTGAGATGTTTTTATCTCGACGCGGCGCGGACGCGCTTGGAAAAAACGAGCGTGTCGCACCTCGACCGCGTCGCTTCCATTATGAGCGCGCATACCACGCGCCTACATTTGAAATAACGAACTTGAGCGCGCAAAAGACGCGATATGTGAACCGGCCCTTAGTGCTTTTGGAAGGTCTTTTTTGACAAGTGCTATTAGTATAATACATATATAGCTTTAATTTAATTTTTTAGGTTTTAGTTTTAGTTCTCAGTTACTTTCCAAGGCAACATTTCAAATTTTCATCTGATTTTTGTATTTCATTTTTATTTCAATTACTGAAATTGATTTTTAATAGGTTTAGTTTACAATAACAACACTGGTTTAAAATGATTAATTCATTATTTGTCTGTTTATATTTTTAAAATGATCTTCATTTTCTAGATCCCTACACAGTTTATTTTTCACCTTTTCTTAATAACAATCAGAGTGTATTTCTCCTCTCTCACAGGTTTATTCCTGGGGAAGTGACAAATTTGGGCAGCTGGGTCATATGAATGCTCCCTGCACAGTTCCTAATCTCACCATGGTATACATCCTTTAATTTTTTCATGATGTGCATTCACCTTTTCTGCAAACCTTCCCTTTTAAGGCATTCCTTTCCTTGTATAAAAATGAATGTGCAGTTGTGTGTGTTTCGATAGATCTCTGACGGTATCCGTGTGTGGGACGTGGCAGCAGGGCAAACGCACACTTTGCTGCTGGCTGATGGAGACTGTTATCAGCCTATTCTCTACTATAGTGGAGAGCAGGTGCTGGCGAACTCCGACAGTGCTCATCCTCTCTCTGGGACCTACACCCAGACGCCCACCCTTCTGCCCTTCTGCATGAATGTTCGTATACACTGTTATAACAGTTCGTTGTTTTTACAAAAAGTTATTTTTGCTGTGGATAGGCTGTTAGTAAAATGACAATAAACCCCTCTTCTTCAGTGAATATTGTTATACATTCAGTACATAATTACAATACAAAATCAGTGACGTAGAAGAAGATTTTATTTTTATTATTAATGATAAAAAATGCAATACATAATAATAACACAATGTGATTAAACAAACTAGACATTCCACAAGACACTATAGGCCCAATTTACTAACAGCTTGTGCCAGTCCAAACCTTCTTTAGGCATTAAAAAACTACTGTCAGAATTTACTAAAGACGCAGTTAAAAATTAACGCTGAAAAGGACAATTATTTTTGCAGGTGACCTTATTGAATTTGCATTTTTTAGGAGTTTTCCTTTCAGAAAAAAAATGTATGGGAGGAGAGTATTTAAATGAATCATGCAAGGTGATTTACTAAGGTTTGCGCTAGTCACTTTACTGTTATTTGCGTCATTATTTAAAGCCCCAAAACAGCATCTCTTAAACCAGACGCTAATTTGCGCTTCATTAGTAGATTTTACCTGTTTAGTTGCCAGTACATAAACATATAGTATACGTATACTATTGTGTTATTTCAATGTTTGTGATTAATTGTTTAATGTAAAGCAGCAATTTATTCTAATTTTGTTGTTTCCTTTGTAAAGATTGGTTATGTGAGCAAAGTGTTTGGGGGAGGACTGAATTGTTTGGCTTTGGCCGATCAGAACGCAATGGGTTTCATAGCGACAGTTCACGAGCTTGCTTCGTCAGAGAGGAAGTTCTACTGCATCCTCAGCAAGGTGAAGAGCCAAATCCTGAGCCCCCTACTAGGTCGTGGTATGTAACGGATTCTTTTTTACTCATTGCACTTTTCGTTTCGATCTTGTGGATTGTTATTGTGTTTTATAATTGGATATTGATTGATCTGCGATGTCATAATGTAGCGAGTTTGGGCTCGTCTCTGGGTCAGTCCTCCATGTTGCTGTTTCAAGAGATGGCTGGTAGTTTCAGCAAGCTTTGCCATCTGACAGGACAGCACTCAGCATCCCTCACCAACTTCCTGCAGCGAGGCAAAGCGATCAAAACACTGGTCTTGATCAAGAACACAGCCATTTTCATTGACACCTATAAAGAGCAAGTATACTATTCATACTTAAAAAAGAGAACACCATCTTTTATATTTTAAAGTCTATAATAACATCAAAGATGATTTTCGTCCTCAGGTACAGCGATCCAGTGGGAAACTTTCTTGTTATGGGAGGATTCCAGTCATTGCTGAAACCCTCACAGTGCGTTGTCGTACCTGAGTCAGCGTACTCATTAACATATCATGATAATATATACGCTATCATTAATTGTCTGAGGTTCTAGTTGTACAATCACTCTTTGTTAATGCATGATCTGTTTCTTCAGAGAATTATTTGGGAAGAAACTGGAGTTAATACAGTCTCTGCTAGAGTCCAAGGAGAAGAACCCATCACCCTGTGATCTGTTAGTCAGCTTGTTTTGCATGCCCTTACAGCACCTGCATAGCTATAACAGATTACTTCTGAAACTAGCCAACTGCTTTGAAGTGGTAAGAAAATAATCCATTTCTCATTATGCTCTTGAATGGAATGAAAGTGGCATGAAAATTCATGACATTAATCTTTTATTGTTTAGAACACTGAGGAATACCAGTGGATTCAAAATGGCTGCTCCAAATATGAAGCTTTAGCTCGCTTTGTCAGCAAGCAGAGAAAAGATGCTGAGGCCACTTTCAATTTCTGGAAGAACTTCAAAGGAAAGAATTCGGTATGGCACAGAATATGAATTATGGACTTATGTTGCGGATGGCTACAGCCCTGGCTTCTGATTGGAAACAGCTATGATGTGCAATAGTACCCGTCTGGCCAGCGCAGTCTCACCCCAAAAAGTCATATAACTGACGTTTTGGGACGTCTTTTGACCATACGTCAATATTCGCCTTTTTAGGGCCCCCTTAAACGTCGGTAGATGAGGTTATGGGATCCTAACTCTACCCCAGACCTAAACCTAACCCTAAACCTAACCCGTCACCTAACTGACGTTAAAGGTAAAGCGTCAGTTGTATGACGGCCCGGGATCGCCATTTACCGACGTTTAAGGGGGCCCTAAAAAGGCGAATATTGACGTATGGTCAAAAGACGTCCCAAAACGTCAGTTATATGACTTTTTGGGATGAGAATGTGTTGGTCTGGCTGTCACTGCACAGATCCTACAGCTGCTGTTTTTGTTTTAAAAACTCATTTTGGGGTCAGGAAGATTTTTCAAATTGTTTTTGGAAAAAGTCTCTCACCAAGGCTGCATTTATTTGATCAAAAATAGAATTAGACAGTGATATTGTGACAATGATATTACAATTTAAAACTACTATCTTCTCTTTTAATATATTTTAGACATTTTATTAAAATGTATTCCTGTGATGGCAAAGCTGAATTTTCAGCATCATTACTCAGGTTACATGCGTCACATGATGCTTCAGAAATCATGATAATATGCTAATTTTCTCCTCAAGATACATATCTTATTATTATTAGCAATTTTGAAAACAGTTTTGGTGCTTTGCTGTATTTTTGTGGACAAACATGTCGGCATTGTGGAAGCATTGTCCGAGAAAGACCAAAAATGGCCGTTTCCAGACACTGTTTTGCTGAATTTTCTAGAAGGAAAAAACAAAAAGGCTAATAGGCTATTCAAGAAGGGAGGCTCAAATATGGCCAAATAAAAATATTGTTATTGTACAAAAAAACAAAACAAAAAAAAAACATTCTTGTCAAAAAAAAACATTGAGCATTAAGTAAATATTTGTACATTGTAGATAGGTCATTTATTTTTTTTTCTTTGAAAAGCAAGACAAAATAGTAAAAAGCATTTTATTACATTTATACAGTGGTGAAGAATTTGCTAAATAAATGAAAAAAAAAAAAGCTTTTCTTATTTATTTATTTATAATACATTTATAATGTAATTATTTATTTATATTTATTTATAATAAATTCTATTGGAAGTGAATTTGGTCCACTTAATTCAAATTTGATAAGATGTACCTAATGAACATGCTTAATAAAATTCCTGAAGCACATCTAAGCCTTTAGCTAGATTCCCAATGTAGCACTGTCTCACTTGTTAATTTATTAGAAACCTTTCTGTCTTACACTGCAGTCCGGTTGGAAAATTAGCTCATTTGACCTGCAGCTATTTTAAATGTTTTAATTAAACTATAAAATAATTCAAACATAAATGAAACACACAAAGCATGAAGTTCTAACAGCTGATGCATCAAGCATTTACATACTGTATATAACAAAATTAGCGATTGGAGAAATATAGCAGAACTGAAAACACCCTCATTAGCATAAGTGTGTGTCAAGAGTACTTGCATTGTGCATTTAAGCTGCAACAATCCTTAGGAATGCTAAGATCCAAACAAATAGCAAATAAGATTAACTTCTCATTCTTACCATACCAAATGTGTCGTCATTACTAAGCAACAGTATTTCTTGCCAAAGATCAATTTGAGAATGGTTTTCAAAAACAAATAAGAAAAAGATAAATAATGCAAAATAATCCATCATCTTGTTGGCTGGTGTTAATTTCACACCCTGGCTGGCAGTCCTTGTGAATGTGTATTACGTCCCCTGTATAATGTGGTTAAGTTGACCTACTTACTATTTCCTTTAATTGAAATTGAATTGCTCAGCAAGCTGCATGGCTAAATACCAGCAGATATGACCACATACATTTCAGATATGTTTCTAGTTAGTTTATGTGCAAACCTGTTGATGGCTGGGCAGAAGGATATGCACATGTGCTGTGTGTCTCCATGTGTGCAGTTCTCTTTACCTGATCTTTTCTTTCTCAGGAATCTCTGCGTAAGCCGTCTCGTCGTCTGGTTTGTGAGAGCAGTAATAAAGCTCTGACGTTACAAAACGCTGGAAGATTCTCTGCCAGCTGGTTCATCCTCTTCAGTGATGTCCTGGTTCATGCACAGGTTCAAACATTTTTAACACAAATTTTACCACCCTGTAATTTTCATTACACTCATTTCATGTCATTCATGTTCTTTTTTTATTTTCTTCATTCATATAGGGCACTATTCCTTCAAAGAAACTTGTGAGTATTGTGTGTTTAAGTTCATGCCTACACAGAATCAGTGTATACTTTAAGGCTTGACTTGAGACATTGAATGCATTTTTGCTATTTATAACTTATAAGCCTATGATAAATTGTTGGATATTTTAAAATATGCTAATATAAGTGTCCCAAGCTAGTTATCTGCTGACATATTTTGCTGTTTTTACTTTTAACTGAAGTGCATTATTCTGCCGAAAAGAAAAAAATGCAAGTACAATTATGCTTTGATGAAATCTGAAATACAGAAAGAATAGGTAACAGAAATCATTTGAGAGAGGGCCATTGTTTTCATTGTGTGTGTACGTGTGTGCGTGCATGTTTATTTTCAAGTATGCTGGGGTGAATTTTCTTTATATTCCTTTGTGGTTTTTGAAACCGAACTGTGTATGCAGTGACATGTTTCTTGGTTGGTCTGTTTTTCTTCTTTGTCCTATGCCAGCGGCTTGATAACATTCAACATTGAAATGTTTCAATTCCTTTTTCTGCACAAGCTTTTAATAACAGCTTTTTACAAAGTCTGTAAGAAGTTGAGTTGTGACCGATTTATTTAAGTTAGACAAAGACCCAAAATCATATCATGTCATAGCACATCATAACATTTCACATCATATTGTATTGTGTCATTGCATACTTTTATCTTTACAAAATTATTATTATTTTTTTTTTTTTTTTCAACTTTGTTGATTAATGCCTTATTTGTTGTGAAATGTTTGGGCATTGGGTGTGGTTTTCCTTGTGCACTTATGTAGGTACATGGGTGTGTGTTTGTGTGAATAGCTGGGTAAACTTTCTTTGAGAAAGTCTTCAATATGGCTAATGTATTTCTTATTTCAGGCAAACTGTTATATTTACAAATTGTATACATGTTCTGTTTAAATGTTCTTTCCTGACTCTGCAGCAGCAGCAGAGCATGCAAATGCTTTAGTTTTTATTCCTGTAGATAAGGGAGTGGTTTGCTTGCGTAACTGAATAAACTCTTTTTTTTCTACAGTTCTCATCTCACTACATCTACCCCCTTGCTACACTATGGGTGGAGCCCATCTCAGATGAAAGTCTGGGCATGTAAGTTACTCATCTGAGCATCTTTTATCTTTGAACAGTTCTAGTACATTTTAGTGTAGTTTAATTTAGCACATGATATTTCATTAAATATTAAGCCGTTGGGAATGCTCTTGCACATACTAAATCAGAGTTTCAAGGACACTGCTGTGCTTATACAAAAAAAAAAAAAAAAAAATCTGCCCCAGTTTAACCTATAACTATCATTGCTAGACTTGCCCTTAAGCTGACCACACCTGAAGATAGCTTTGTTGTTCTGGCATCTTCCCCTCTGGAAAAGGTAATGCACTGATCCGGTCAGAGTTTGATTAAGCAGTTTCTCTGCTTAATGTTAATTCTGCTGCCCTCTTCCTATCTGTTAGGGAAAGTGGCTGAGGGCCATTAACCAGGCCACTGAGGAAGTGCTTGCTGCAGGCCTGAACAGGAGGACACTTGTGTCTAGAAGCAGCCAGAATGGAGATCCTCCTGTGTCACGTACTTCCACCTACACTTTCAGTAAAGAGGGCCGACTCAAGGATGCTGTGTACGAGGGCCGCTGGCTATCAGGCAAACCTCACGGCAAGTGAGTGCATGCCAATGCTCACTGTTTGTATTCACACTTTATATAATAAAACAATCTTCCAATAATTGCTCTCAACCACATATACAGGGCTGACATGCATTTGTTTTTTGAGTGAACACAGCAATGGCAGTCCTGCTGGCTAAGGTGTTTTTTTATCTACTGTGGATTCACTGTGAAACAGTATCATGTTGTAGCTCAATTGAAAATGGCTCTTGTCTGTTACTGCAGTTCATCTGTGGTACATGTGCCCTTCTGTTCTCTTTTTCTTTAAATAGGGGGATTCTGAAGTGGCCAGATGGGACAGTTTACTGTGGCACATTCAAAAACGGGTTGGAGGATGGGTCTGTACATACACTGTTAAAGATGAACATACTTACAATACCATTCAAAAGATGGGGTCTATAAATAAAATATATGCTTTTATTCAACAAGGACAAAATTATTAATGTTACAAAAAAAAACAGTTTTAAATAATGGCTGTTCTTTTGAATTTTCTATTTGTCAAAGAATTCTGAAAAAGTGTATCAATGTTTATACAAAAATATTAAGCACTATTAAGTGTTTTTAACATTGATAATGATAAGAAAAGTTTTTGAGCAATGATTTCTGAAGGATCATATGACACTGAAGACTGGAGTAATGGCTTCTGAAAATACAGCTTTACCATCACTGGAATAAATTACATTTTAAATATATATATATATTAAATAGAAAGGAGTTCATTTAAAATATTTTTTAAATTATTGTTTTACTATATTTTAATCTAATAAATGCAGTATAAAAGAAAAACATTGAAAAATCTTACCAGCCTTAAACTTTTGAACTGTAAAATAAATGGGATTTATACTCTTCTCTGTGTAGATTTGGAGATTATATGATGCCCAATGCAACCCTCAACAAGTTTGAGCGTTACCAAGGCCACTGGAAGGAAGGGAAAATGCATGGCTTTGGCACATACTGGTAATAATTATATAAATGTGTGTGTTAAATCATATCTTTTTGGGATTATCAGTTTATCAGGGACATCTCAAACCTTGCCCATGTTCTGATTGCTCCGTCTTTGCAGGCATGCTTCAGGTGAGGTATACGAGGGCTCATTCAGGGACAACATGCGTCATGGACACGGTATGTTACGGAGTGGGAAGATGGCCTCTCCTTCCTCCAGTAGTGTGTTTGTGGGCCAGTGGGTGCAAGGAAAGAGAACAGGCTATGGGGTTTGTGATGACTTCAGCAGGTATGTGCTTTGTATTTGCCAAATTTGAGATTTTAAACATCCTCCTGCTATAAACAATTCATTAACTTCTTTCTATATCTCCCAGAGGAGAGAAATACATGGGAATGTGGCTTGATGACCAGCAACATGGAGATGGGGTCGTTATCACTCAGTTTGGATTGTATTTTGAAGGAAACTTCTCTAATAACAAGATGATGGTCAGTTGAGTTGGGGACATTATACTATTACATAAATGCCTACATTTGCTGATATTGAATATATACTAATTATTATTTTATATTATTTAAGTAGCATACTACAGTATGTCTTGTTTTCTGATACAGGGCAATGGGACTCTTCTCTGTGATGATGACACAGTATTTGAGGGCGAGTTTTCAGAAGACTGGACTCTGTGTGGAAAGGTGACCTTGAAATAATGTGACAGTTTCCTGTGACAGCAAGTCTGTTGAAACCATATTTGTGATTTGTGCATCAAAGTGCTTGTGTGTTTGAATATCCTGTGATTTTCTGGATGTGAAGGGCGTCCTATTCATGCCTAATGGTGATTCATTGGATGGGGTCTTTGATGGTCAGTGGGGAACCGGTCTGAGAGTGGCTGGAACTTTCACAAAACCCTTTGAATCTTTGAGGAGAGAAAGCAAGATGCCGTAAGTTTGTCATGAATAATGCTCTGGCCTACTGTATGTGTATTTGTACTGTATTTTTATGTGTGTGTGTGTGTGTGTAGTGTGGCTGGTCAACACGCAGTGCCTGCAGAAGAAAAGTGGAAAGCCGTGTTTGAGGAGTGCTGGTGTCGACTAGGCTGTGAAACTCCTGGTCAGGGACTGTATAAGAAAGCCTGGGAGAACATCGCCATCTCCCTCACTGCCAGACGCAGACAACAAAGAGATTCGTATGTACACTAACATGATAAACCAGTAAAGGTGCACACAACACACAAAAATGCTTTGTAGCCTGCAACAAATAATGAAGGATAATATGTCACCTTCTTTTAAAAAAAAACACCAAACTTGAACTTTGGTACGCAAAAGACAATTTCTTTGTTTAAATGCACATGAATGTAAGTGTATGGAGAATTTTAATGTGTGAAGAAATCACCAGTGATGCATGTATGTCTGTAGTCCAGAGGAGCTGAGTCGATCTCAGACTAAGATGCTGGAGAGTCTTGAGGTGATTCCTCAACATGTAGGCCCTGTTACTGCAGACTCCTACAACAACATTCGTCGGTATCTCTTGAAGGTGAGTCTTCCAAAAGCGTATTAACACCAAGTCTGCAGAACTGTAAAGATGCCTCAAAAAAGCATTTAGACACTCATTGGACTATAGGACATGTCATTGCAATAGATAGTTTTTACAGGTGTCCATAAAGAGCAACTACAGGTAGATATGTTTAACCACTAATGTTTTGAAATGTCTGCCTGTGATATTTGTTTTTAAAATAAATGCAATTTATTTAAATATTTTCTTATAAAATGCACTTGCACTACTGCTATTTTTAATAACTTAAAAAAAAATTGAAAGAAGACTCATATGCTTACGTAGTGAAAACAGTAATATTGTGAAATATATTATATTATTATGTATTTTCTACAGTCTACATGCTCCTTCAGAAATCATCCTAATATGCTGATTTGGTTCTCAAGAAATTATCATTGTCAATGTTATATATAATTATTATTATCAGCAGTTATATATTTTGTGGAAATGGTGATACATTTTTTCAAAGGAACAGCACTAATTTGAAATAGAAATCTTTCGTAACATGTGTCTTTACTGCCACTTTTGATTAATTGAATGCATCCTTGCTAAATAAAAGTATGAATTTCTTAAAAAAATTAATAGATACAAAATAGGAATTTGTTCTTAATGACTTGTTCTTAATGTAAAAATAAAGAAGGGGAAAAAAAACACACCGATCTTTTGAACAGTAGTGTACATTTATATATTTTTAAATGTCTGAATACCTTTTTTGGGGGTGTAATAACTCCCTTTAGGCCTGTGACACCCCTCTGCACCCGCTGGGCTGGCTGCTGGAGACCCTCGTCACTGTGTACAGGATGACCTACGTTGGTGTGGGCTCCAACAGACGGCTCCTACAGCAGGCAGTGGAGGAGATCCAATCATACCTAACAGGCATATTCCAAATAGTCAGGTAACAAGGTCACGCTTTTCTGTAATTGCTTCACGGTGAGCTCCCACACAACTCAGTGCTTTAAAAGCCAGTGAAGGGTTTTGCAAAGTTCATTCTCCTTGTAGTGAACGCTCTGTTCTTATTTCATTATTTCTGCTTTATTACATAATGAATTTTGCTTTATGTAATAATGGGGCACTTTTGGGGCACACAATTAATTTCATTACAGTTATCATAGATAGACTACTTCATTAATTGATTTTCCTGACAAAGCTGTTGCTTTTCAACTGTTATAAATATTTCCCATAGGTTTCTGTTTCCTGGTCTTCCTGCGGACGGAAGTTTTATTCTGGATTCCTCTAGTTCCTCGGATGAGGGCACAGACTCTCTTAACAGCAGTACACACTCAGAAACTCCACAGCAGGGGTAATACAGCACCACCATGATTGAACTACAGATTTGCATGGAACGATTAAACATGAGAATAGTGGATCTGTCCCAAACCTAGTGGAACACCTAACATCTGTTTGTGTGTGGATTGTTAGATACTTAGATATAGATACTGTCATAACAATTAAACAGGCTTGTGTCTGTTTTTGTTTGTTCCGCAGTTGGTTAGTGAGCAGCTCAAGTCTTCTCCTGCCGGTGTTGCTGCCGAGGCTTTACCCTCCTCTCTTCACCCTCTACACACTAGAGAAAGAGAGAGAGGAGGAAGTGTACTGGAACTGTGTGCTAAGACTCAACAAACAGCCTGATCTCGCCCTCCTAGCCTTCCTTGGAGTACAACAGTAAGTGACAAAAGGAACCATACAAGATAAAATATTCTATTACAGTGTGTATGATGCATTTATAGTGGCCCTAAAAATTATTGGATGCTTAAAGGCCAATTCACGCTACACCAACTAACACACAGTTGGTAGACAGTTTTGTAGTTTTTAATTGATAAATCAATTGATATATTCTTTAAAATTGAGACAAAATATATTTGGACACTTGTCTTTTCTGATTTGTGATTGTGATTTATTCAAAGCCATTGCAAAAATGCATCAGTTGATGTCAATTCGGTAACACTCTCTATAAATCATATATTTATAATGCATGCAAATTACCTTATAAATAAATCTTATATGCTGTATTATCTCATAATCATATACAAGTGCTCTTTGTCTGCTTTAAGTAAAGTAAAAAAGACTAGGTCTCCAAACAGCCATAAGATATTATGAAGTGGTTTGTAATATGGTTTTGGAAGTAATTTGATTGACTGGGGCCACGGAAGAACCAATCAGCATTCATTTAGTTTCATGCCATGTATGTGCGTACTGACTTCACCCTAGGAGATTGTCTATTGTGCATTTTTCTGTAATAGGTTTGTTTTTGTGGCTTGAATATATAGTATATGCTTCATATCACAATTTCTCTTTCCGTTTCTGCTGTTGTTTTTTTTATTCTCAAAAACCTTCATTCGAAACTCATTTACACCACTTTTATTCTTCCTTCATTGTTGAAGTGAAATTTTGCCTGTATTGTTGTGATTCACAGTTCTCTTGAATTTGTGAATGCGAGTATGACACGAGCGGTGTGTAATAAGCCTGTCTGTGAGATTTCTGAGGCGCTTCCTGTCCGGTGTACGGCCAGTAAACACTCCGCCAGAGCCCCTATGAGACAATGAACAAGCCACTTTTTCCAACCCGTTCTCATATATGCCACATGTCCAAGAGGGCAAAAAGCCCCCTAGTATCTTTATAATGATGTGCTGGAAAACTCATGGCAATTATAAGAGAAGTCGCTGAGAATTTTGTTTCCATTTTATTATATTTCAATGGTATCAGTAAACAGTGATTTACTGTCGTGAAGCTAAAAGTGTTCAGATTTAATAAATATATTTAAATCTAAGCTGTGACTTTGACAATTTGATTTTGTTTAGTCGAACTTCTGAATAGCTGGTAACAAAGTAGAAGTCAAATTGGCTTATTGTAATTTGTAATTTCAAATTGTAATTTCAAATTCTGATTATAATGCATTATAACTGTCTTTACGATTATTCATGAGATGATACAACATTATAATACGCTTGCATATAATGCATTAAGAATACACTTATAATGTAATATTATATTTGATACACAGTATTTTACTTTTTGCTCCTTATGCAATTAAATGTTCATATTTTATGCATGGTTTAATTGTCCAAATATATTCCGTTGTCCATGTATACAGTATAATAATGACTATTCAAAGCCTCCGTCCAGGAATTTTTTTTACATGAATGTCTCTTTGTTTTCCAGAAAGTTCTGGCCAGTTTCTATCTCTGTATTGGGAGAGATAAAGCAGGTAAACCTTTCTGTTATTTCTAATAAAATAAACAGTGATGAAACTCGTGGTAAAATAAATAACTTAAATGGTTCAATTGGATTTATTGGATAGGTCTTGCCTAGTACTAAAGACGCCTGCTTTGCTACTGCTGTTGAGACCCTACAACAAATCAGGTAAAGACAGTCTGTGTGTAACATTGGTAGAAAAATAGCAACAACACAGCAGGTTTCTGAAATTATTATTGTTGTCTTTGCTTCTACAGCACAGCATTCACTCCCTCAGACAAGTTACAGGTGATACAGCTGACCTTTGAGGAGGTCACCCAGGAAGTGACAGGACTGCTTGGGCTGGAGTTTCTATGGTCCATGGATGACCTCTTTCCAATCTTCCTCTATGTGGTGCTCCGTGCGCGGTACATTTCCAAACTTTTCACTGCATATAGACCTCATGGTAATTAAGTTATTAGTTGAAACATTTAGTTTGTCTGCCCACGTAAAGAACCTTTTGCTTGTGAACGTGTAGGATCAGAAACCTGGGCTCTGAAGTCAGTCTGATAGAGGACCTTACAGACTCCAGTCTACAGCTGGGACAGCTTGGGTTCATGTTGACAACTCTCAAAGTGAGAATGAAATTACATTTTCTTTTTTTCCACACATAATCAGGGACAAAAACATTGTCTAGTCCCCTTTTATTCTTTTCCTTCTTTTACTTAAATCTATTTCTCTCTGTTTATCTCTGCTTTTTAGGCCTGCTACAACCAGATTCAGCTTGAGAAGACTACATAGGGATGGGTTGGTGTGGGAGCAGCTCAGCTTGCCTAACTTGCGCACTTATGGAGTAGGTGCTGTTTAAATAGACATGGATTACAGGTCAAAGTCAAGATGTGCTCATTTATTTCAGGCCTCAAGAAGAGGCTCATTTTCAACTCAAACATTCCCTTAAACACTGTGCTACAGAAATGACTTCCATTTTTATGTTTTTATACTCTCAAACTGACCATTTGACAGACAGTAAAATTACACCTTGAAGAAACATCCATATTAACTGTACAGAAAAGAGACGTCAATAGTTTTATACAAAATCGTTATATAACTATATAATTATTCAAGCACTCACCATGTCTCAATATGTTATACTAGTTTTGGTAATAACTGACACTCATTACTATATATATATATATATATATATATATATATACTGTATATATATATATATTATTTGGCATCAGACTGTTACTGACATGTTTACTGATACTCCAACTAATGATAATGCTCTAATTTGAATCAGAAGAAGCTATATAATTGTCAGAGCAGAACCAATGTACTAAGGTACCTATGGGTTTTGATGGAATGATCTCAGAGTGAAAGCAACTTTAACAACTTAAAACATATTTATATAAGGAACATAGCAATGGACAACATAATCCATAATATTTTGCTATAGATGCATACATAAACTAATCATGAAAAGTTTAAGCTCAGTAAGATTTTTTAATGTTTTTCACAGAAGTCCCTTTTGCTTACAAATGTTGAATTTATTTAATCAAAAAATACAGTACAAAATTACTATTTAAATTTCTTAAATTTATTTAAATGTAATTTACTCCTGTGATAAAAGCTGAGTTTTCAGCATCATTAATGTTTAGGATGGTGCTTGTTTGCTGCTTAAGAAACATTTCTTCTTATTATTATTAACGTTGAAAACAGATCTGCTGCTTTTTTGAGCTGCATTTTTTTCAGCATTCTTTGATTAAGAAAACAGCATTTATTTGAAATCAAATATTTTGCATCATTAATCATTATAAATGTATTTACTGTCAATTTGGATCTCTTTAATGCATCTTTTTAGGATACAACTATTAATTCCTTATTTAAAAAAAAAAAAAAAAAATCTTACTGATCCCAGTTTTTTTTTTAATGGTGGTGTATAAAAATGATCCATCCGAAGTAACTTCACTATCATAGGAAATTCACTAAAAGTGAATCCGACTTTACAATGCTTTTTAAGAGAGAGAGCATTTAAGGAGAGCATGTATGATTAAGTTGTTATAGCTTACATGGTTGCAAAGCAGTGCCATTGGTTTTTGGTGAAAAAATAGCTTGATACTGCATGAAAATAGCTTGTTATTGCAGTTACTGTCACGTTACTGAAAAATGTAGACAAATTAATAGTATCGCTACTTTTAACTTGTAAACAATCCTATAAATTCCATGGATGCATCCCTATTATTAACCAGCTTCTGTTTGGGTTACTGGTTCTGTTGTGATTTTGCACATCACACAGGGTTTCTGTGTTTTGAAATACATTTGTAGTCTTGTGATGTTGGTATTATAAATCGTAAGTAGACATTGAACAATGTCATTGAAGCACTGACATGTAAAGATGGCTTGCAGTACTGAAGACATAACTGAAGTCAGATTATGTTGTGATGTATTTTAACTGTATAATCTGTGTATCTCTGAAACAACTGATATTCTGAAAGAAATGGTTTGCATTTCAGCATATGACAGCATACTGACATGAAACACTATATGAAATTTGATTTAGTTGTAATTTGATACACTCTCATCAAAGTGTGCCGGAGTGAATTTATTAAGATATATTTAGAGCTTATACACTGAAGTCTTGAGTAATATTTTCTCAGTCCATGGCATTTTTCCAATATGCAATAAGGGAATAATATTTATAAAATATTAGGAATATGCTGTATATTTTCAACTTGTTTAAAGAGCAAACTAATTAAGGACTAGTGTGTGTTTGTTTTCTTTTAAATGCATTTTTTGTACAGTACATTTGAACATGCACTGAAAAGTTTTGCTGATATGTCACACAGCCTTAGTGTGAGATCTAGTGATAACTGAAATGGTTTTTTAACGACAATTAATGTTTGTTTGTTTTTTTCATTAAAAACCAACCAATTGTTAGCTGGTGCTGTTTATCACAAATTGGCTAAATATTGCCTTATTAATCGGCCGTCCCAATATTTGTCTAGTCTGTCACTAGTTGGGTCATTGTCATCACTATGCTGGTTAATAAGACATTGCTTATAAAGATCATAAATACGACAGCAACTTTACTGCTATACTGGCTGGTTTTGTTTTTCAGAAGGTTACTGGTTTTAATAAAATACTTGCACTGTCATTGTTGATCTAATTATTCATGTCACCTTAAAAATGAATTTGTTTAATGCATTCGAATTGAGTTCATATGAAAAAAAAAATTAATAATTTAACAATTATCTGACAGACTTCTTTAATAAATGCTGCATAATTGGGAGATGAAACTTATGTTGTGGTTTTCCTCTTCGTCACCTAGCTAATATAGTTATAAATTGATTATAATATAGATAACATAGAAAAGTTGATAGATTGATAGATTCAATTGAAGACCATCATTCCATTTATCTTTGGTTAATGTACCTGTAGTTCCCTTGACTATTAGCAATGTGATGTCCTGGCTTTTTAGCTCTGACATTTTTACTGATTAAAAAAACATGCAAATTTCTTCATTAAATATGATTTGTTTTGTTTTTCCACTATCTATTTGCTATGTTTTTATTTTATTGCCATTTTTAAGTCTCTGGCATTGTCGAATGTGTTTATCTTTGTCTATTATATAACGATAATGTCAGGAGAAAATCTGTGAGTTAAGTCTTGGATTTATGTGATGTTTTTCATGTCTTATTTTCTATTTTAGCTGTAAAGTTGGTTAGACCGTATTGTGTATGTTTGAGTGTGTCTATCGAGCTCTAAAAGCAGGCAGAGATAAGAAGCTTTGAGTGGCAGGCGGTCCTATTGAAGTGCTCACCGAGAGAGGCCGGCCCATCGCAGGATTAAGTGAGATAGAAAAGGATTACAATCTGAGTTTCTAGAGACATTTTATAGTAAAATCACATGCATGTTGGCAGGCCAGAAGCAGAAGATCACCTTGATATAAAGCTCATCTAACAAGATGCTCCATAGCCTCCTGGTCTAAACGTGGGATGTGGAAGTGACAGTGTGATTTGGAGGAAGACTGTGAGAGGAGTGTAAGAAGGTAAGTGTGGCATATACTCTAATCTTCATATGGCGGCCTCTTGACCTGCTTTAGTAGTCCGAGTCACTCCAGTTCAGAGATCACAATCAATGTGAAATGTCATTTTTTAAATGAATTAAGTAAACACTTAATTTACTAGATGACTTCAATTTGAGGTCCAGAATAAAGTTTATATGGTAACTATGTTTTAATGATTTGTAAAACATTGCAGCCAACTATGTGTGATGGTTCTGCCAGTTTTGGACTCATTATCCATGATTTATCATTCTTATACAGAAATGCGGATTACTGTATACTTTTGTATTTTTGATATTGGTTAGTTTAATAGGGCTGCACTGATCTGATGAACAGGGAAGCTTGTCATGCGGGAATCAATGGAGGAGGAGCCAATGACTCACCCTGGACATGATGAAAATGGTTGGTTGGCACATCACTCTCAACTAGATTAAAACAGTGTATTTTCATTCACAAATTATTGCAGCAAATCAAATACTATACTACAGACCTAAAATCTCAGACCTTTGAAAGCCACTTCACATTTTATTTACATTTTTCATTCTTAGTTCAGTCTTGTTTTTTTGTTTTTGTTTTTTTTCTCAGATGTAGGTCTGGCTCAGATCTTGGCAGAAGTGGTAGAGGAAGTGAGACTGTCCATAGACAGAGATATTAATGGTGCTGATCTTCTGTACAGTCTCCTCCGTGCTCCCTGGCTCTATTCTCTCCTCAGGGTAAAACATGCTCTTTCAAACAGCTTCACACTACATTCCCCCAATAAACAGTTATTAGAAATTATACCAGGCAGATTGTTGGACTCTGAAATGCTGTATCTATAGAGTTTGCAGCTGTTTTGCATGTGAAAGATTTGTTTTTATTCCCATAGGTATATGAGTGTCTAGTGCTGCACAGTCGAGATGCCCCAAGACCATACATGCCTTACTCCTCAAGACTATCTCAAGAGGTCAGTGTCAGCCTTTTATTATACTGCTTTAGAGGGATATTGAAAAACTATGATCCTTCCATGTCATATAAAACCTTCTGTAATTTACTGTGAAACCATTGATTTGAGTGCCACAGTAAACATGTCTTCTAAAACCATACATGAGTGAATGATGATTGAGCACTATAGTATATTAAAAGACTTCTAAAGCCATTTGTGAGGTTGAGTAGATGATTATTTGAGCACTGTAGTATATTAAACGTCTTCTAAAGCCATAAATGAGGGTGAGTAAATGATGAAAGTATTTTAATTTCCGGGTGAAGTAATCCTATCATCTTCTATTGTCCTGTCCCACAGATTATGGCCAGTGTGCGAGGACTGGCTGCTCCCTCCTCTGAGGCACAGGAACTTTATCTTTTGCTGAAATACCCTCATATGCAGGTTAGCGTCTAATTCAGGTTGCATTACATTTATTATTGTTAGGCCACTCTTTTTGACCATTTATTATGTATTTCTCCCCAGGCTTTGCTCTCTGCCCATGATTCAGTGGCTCAGAGGGACTATGGTCCAGTGTTGCCGCCCCTTCCTGACAAAATGCCTGACAATGAGGAGCCCATGAGGATTGTTTGCCTTGTGAAGAACAAACAGCCTTTGGTGAGGATCAGATCATAAATAGAATGCAATTTCAGATGTTAGCGAACAGCTTAGCTGTAATCCCACTTAAATGTCCCTTGTCATACTATAATGCAGTATCATGTAAAGTGTACGTGGCATTAAATCTATTTTGCCTCATTTATGGTGTAGTCTATCTAAGTAGTGTTGTTCTGTATTATTACGCAATAATGGGCTTTAAAAATCGAACTCACACATACAAATCCTACTAGTCCTACCCTTGATTTTGAACTTCACTGTTTTCATTCTTATACCATAGTAAATATTTTTCCTACTATGGAAGTCAATGAGACCAGAAACGGTCTGATTACTAATATTCTTCTAAATATCAGAAAATTGGCTGAATTGATTCGAAAACAGTAAAACTCAACTGTTTAACTCTGAGGGAGTTGTAAAATGAGCCTATTTCCAAAAAAAGTGAAGTATTCCTTTAATAGTACTGTAAAATTGTTGTAATGTCCATCCTGTTGCCAGAATTATTGTTTAGTACTGTAATGGATTTTTAGATGATAATCCGATATTTTAAGGTATTTCAACTCAAGTCAATATTCTATGACCATGTAATTATTTATTTGGTGAAAAGCAATTTAATAAGTACTAGTATGACTGTTCATTATCCCATGGTTATCTTGTTTATATTTGTTTGATCCCCTAGGCTCAAATCTGCTTTCTAGGAAGTGCTTTTCTTTACTTAAAGCCCCAGTCCGTAACTTTTTTGGGTTAAAAATTATCCCATATACATTTTTGAGCAAGTTCGTAACCAGCCAGTGTTTAAATCTGCTTGCCACAGCTCGATTCAAAACAGTAAGCTTGTAATAATGTTTTTTTTTTTTCCACCAGTGGTACTGGTGGATTTCCACAGGAAATTCGCGCATGTCTTTGCATCATTACGTCACATCTGTACACATAAAGAAAGAGTCTCGGCTAGTCGGCTATATTGAGTGTGAGGATGTTGGAGGTGGAGATTTATAGCCTTTTCTCACTGCACTTGATATAATTAAACATATTCATTTGATGGCGGATCCAGAAAGGTTTACGTGATATGATAATACATCCAGGTGGTTGTTATTGCAAAATAAAGCCTTTTATTGGTTCCATCTAAATTAAGATACAGATAATTTTGTAATTGTAACAAAATTTGTGGCTTCAGTTCACACCTTATTGTGGTTTTACTCAACTTTTATTTGACCTATATTGTAAAATCCCCAAGCTTTTCTTGGTTTAATGTTTGTCGGTTAACACTTCCATACTGTTCTCTCACTTATAAGAGTGTCAGAGAGGGGAAACCCAGTTACTGGAACAGCCTTAGGCGACTAACAGTGGAGAAACTGGCTTTAGCGAGGCGTTTCGGCTCAGGGGAACAGAGTCTCCTGGGGTCTACGGGTGGCCTGTCGTCCTCCACAGGTCTGCTGTCCTCCATACCCCCAGGACAGCCAAACTTACTGCCCAGGTATCAGTCCACCGAGAGCTGCAACCTGTGCTGCCAAACTGCCCATCTTTCGGGAGGAGGTCTGAACCTGTCTGCTCCAGCCGTTTATGACTCTGTGATTAAGGGTAAGGCTCATCATGTACTGATGGCCTGACGAGGCCAAACACTGTGTTGTTACTCTCTTTAATTCTGAAACCAAATTAATCTATCCTGTTTTGTCCTTCATAACTTGAAGAGAACTGTACAGATGGACTAGTTGAAGATCAACACCATACATGCACAGTTTGCACCGCTTCATCTCTAGTGTACCCGCGCACATACGGCGCATCTGGATGTGGCCTCCATTCCCAGACAGCCCCGTCCAGCCCTCTGCTTCAACGCCAGTACTCCATAGACGCCACCCGCTCTTCTCATCCAGCTCCGGTGTTCACGAAGCAACACAGCCTGGATGAGCTGAGGTCCACCGTCCATACTGTTGCCAGCAGTATAGACCCTAGTACCAGTGACGCTCGAGATCTTAGGCAGAAGATGGTGGCAGTAACAGAGAAAATGACGGACAGCGTGGAGGAAAACGCCCAGGCGTTGAGTCTGTTGGTGGAAGTGGTGGACAAATTGCAGGGACTTATTATCACCAGCAAGTCTCCAGAAGTGGCACATGCTTTCAGACCCCAACATGTCTCAAAAACAGCCTGCCCCTACTCGCCCTGCCAGCCGATATTGCCAGCCAAGAAATCTTTCAGCAACACTCCTCGTGTCTCATGCTCCTTCTCCTCGTCTTCATCCTCAACCGCATCGTCGTTTTCCTCCTCTTCTCCCATCTGTAGCATGGATGTTCCTCATGTAGCACCACAGTGCAACTCATCATGCAAGTCTTCATCAAACCAGACCAGAAATAGGTCTGTAACACCAGGAAGTAAAATTGAACAGACTTCCCTATCAAATGTTTTGACGGCTTCCAGTCCAAATGATGACTGTGAAAAAATCCTTTGCCTCTCTAGCAAGAAGAAAAAGTCAAAGATGAGGAAATAAAAGTGACTTCTTTCCCACTTCTCTCTACTAACATTGCTCTTTGCTGAATTTGCTGGTTTTGATTTTACTGAATGGGGCGATGAAATGGTTCATTACAGTGGAACTACACAACAAACAGGCAATTCATTGATCTTATTCTTGTTCATCCAATCTTCACTCAAGACCCATGGAACGATTCATTCATATGTGTTTGTTAACATTGTTCAAGACTACCAAGATCCCTTGCCTTTTAAAGTAAACACTTAATTCTTCATCTGAAGCTTTTTTTTTTTATCAGTCCTATGTGTCTTTCCCTAAACTTCTGAAACTCTTAAGTTCCTCTTTGACTTCTATCAAACTTTTAGTTTAGATCAAGTCAGGCATGTTTCTGTTTGAGTCGACTCCTAATATTTCCTCATAACCTGACCTCCATTGCACCCACAGCCTTCCTCCACTCACGTGCAGCTGTAAGATCCTCTGTGTGAATCACCACATGACACATGCAGTCATTGAGGACAAACTGGTTGACCATTCTTGTCTGTTTTCCCATTTTTAGGGGGCAACTATTAGGAAGGATGAGAAAACAGGGAACATCTTTATTGCAAGGGTGATACATGGAGGACTGGCAGATCGCAGTGGTAAGTGTTGGTAGTCATACAATTTTTGTTCTTTGAGTTTATATTTAGCAAGAGTTACGTTAGTTCAAGTCATATCATTTCTTCCTTTTTGAGGCATACATCTGAGTGAAATGAATTATCAAAAAAGAAAAAAATGTATGATGAGGACTTGTCTCTACACATTGGTTGTTGATTGGATGGATGCAGATCTGAATGCCATCTTGCGGTCGATTGTAAGAAACGGGCGGAGTTTAAGTTGACTAAATGATCAGTAGCACCTCATTGCACAAGATCCAGGGAGCGGAGTGGAGATGGGTAGGATTAGGGGTGTGGTTAGGGATCAGTGGGTGGAGATGGGTAAGATTACGGGTGGGGTTAGGGATCAGGGGGTGGAGATTGCTAGGATTTGGGGTGGGGTTAGGGATCAAGGGGTGGAGATGGGTAGGATTAGGGGTGGGGTTAGGGATCAGGGGGTGGAGATGGGTAGGATTTGGGGTGGGGTTAGGGATCAGGGGGTGGAGATGGGTAGGATTAGGTGTGGGGTTAGGGATCAGGGGGCGGAGATGGGTAGGTTTAGGACGGTATATGTAACCAACAGGATGTAGATATATGGATCCAACTCCTCCCCCTGGATTTCGTGTTCTGGAGTGAGGACCATCTCTAAATGATTGGAGAAGTCCAGCAAAGTTTTTCCTTTTGTTTTACCGAACAATCAAGTTGATTAGGAACTATGAGGATTATTTAAGAAAAAAAAAAAAACAATTTAAAAGTATGGAAACAACAGCATGGATGAATTGTTCACAAAAAGATTATATTAAAAAAATATATATAAAAGGTGAAGTGTGTATTTCTGGACTATATTCACTTCTAAATGAAAATTCTGTCATCATTTACTCAGCCTCATGTTGTTTCAAACCTGTATGAATTCCTTTCTTCTGCTGAACACAAAAGAAGATATTTTGAAGAATGTCTGTAACCAGACAGTTGACGGACCCCATTGACTTCCTTCTTTTGTGTTCATTAGAAGAAAGAAATTCATTCAGGTTTGAAACAACTTGAGGTAATGATGACCGAGTAAATGATGACAGAATTTTAATTTTGAAGTGAACTAATCCTTTAAAACAAACGTATCATTTTGATGTTATATGAAAGTATTAGACTCTAATATTACTCTAATAGTAGACTCTAATAATAGTCTCTTTTGTGTGTGTGTGTGTGTGTGTGTGTGTGCGTGTGTGTGTGCTCCTTGTCTTTTAGGACTTCTTCATCCTGGTGACAAGCTGGTGGAAGTGAATGGACAGAAAGTGCAAAGACTGCAGCCCGAGCACGTCATTCAGATTCTAGTAAGCTTAAATCTTCTTTTGTGTTTCTTATATCCTTCCCCACTCTCCCTCCATTCCAGAATATCTAAGACTTTCAAACCTTTCTCTTATAATGATTGTATCTATTCATGCAGTTCACACTCTTTCACAGGTGAGATCTCAGGGAAATATTATTTTTAAAGTGATCCCTAATTCACCACAACCCATCAACCGCCAAGCAACAGTAAGTGCACTGTAAATATTTGCATAAATTAACTCCCCACAATGTTAGTATTATATTTAATAAATACATTTTTAATATTAAACAAACATCAAATTAAATACACCACTAGTCAAACGCTTTGGAATTATTATGGTTTTTTAATGTTTCTGAAAGAAGTTGTACACCAAGGGTACATTCATTAGATCAAATATACAGTAAAGACAAAGAAATATTACAATTTAAAATGACTGTTTCCTATTTTAATCTATTTTAAATATTTTAAAAATAAAAATAAATAATAATTAATGCTTTTATTCAGCAATGATCCATTAAATTAATCAAAGAGACAGCAAAAACATGTTACAAAAACATGTTTCAAATACATGTTCGTCATTTAACTTTTTATTCCTGAAAAAAATGTGGCAAATAAACATATCATAATGATATCTTAAAGAACACGTGACACTGAAGACTGGAGTAATGATGCTGAAAATTCAGCTTTACCATCACAGAAATAACATTTAATGTGAGTAAAAAAAAAAATTATAAAAAATCTAAATTATTCCAAACTTTTGACTGGCATTGTAATGCATTTAATAAATACTCAATATATACAGTATAGTGAGTTCCCTTTCTGTGTTTAAAATATAGCTTATTAAAAAGGTTTTGAAGTGGTTGTTTCTGTCTCCCATTAGCTATATTTGAGAGCCATGGTGGATTACAGTCCTCTGCAGGACCCTACGATCCCCTGCCCAGATGCAGGAATGGCCTTCAGTAAAGGAGACTTGCTGGAGATTGTAGACCAGAGGGACAGCCGATGGTGGCAGGCCAGGAAACTCCACAGTGCCTCATTATGTTGTGGCCTCATCCCCTCCACTAACCAGTTCAGATCGTCAGTTTGGAATTTTGCAAAATTTCTTTCAAAATAATGTCATTGATACATTTTTTTTAAGCAAGATAAAAAATTTTCCTTTTTTTTTGCAGTAAGCAAAGAGAGTTGTGGTGGTCTCAACCTTATCAAGCTCACACCTGCATCAGACCCTGTAAGTTAACAACACATACAGACACACACACACACACACACACAGATGTATGAACTTCTTTGCTCTCTTTGAGATGTTGGTTGGCATCATAAGCCTCTTATCCCTGCCCTCTCTTCACCCTGATCTAATTAGTGTAAAGGAGCTTGAAAGTGAGCTTTTCTTGGCATGATCCTTGACGATTGACTAGTCCTGTCCTCCTTACGCTCAACAATTAAGAAGAATTAAGATGTATTAGATGCTATTATTTCTAAACACCAGATGTTAGGATTCTTCTGCATATCCTTCAGGGGAATGCTACTGTTTTGAATGTACAGTAGCAAAAACAGCCTTTTTATATTATCAGAGAGAGTCATCATACATGAAAAAAGTAATGTTTACATATACAAGTTGACCCCAGAGGGAAAAAATATATCATTAAAGAATGGTACAATGCACTAAAAGTGGTCTTTTCATATGATTACTCACCATTATTGATACACAATCTTTCTTTATTAAGTCTAATTCTTTGTTGTTTTCTTTTATTTGACATTTAAAGTGAGCCCGAGTGATGTTGGTATGTATCTTTTTCTGTCTTTCCCTTTGTTTTTTTTTGTGTTAGCTGTGTATAGTGCGTTTTAATTTATAGTCAGAGTTTATACCATGTGTTCAATATTTAATATATTTTAAGCTCTTTGAAATATGGTGTATATGTCACTGATATTGCTATAACTATATAATCTTCACTGAGTACACAGTATTGAGTACACACTTTGCATAATCATAATTGTTCAATGTTCTATGTGTGATGGATTTTTGCATGAAACAGAATATCCACCTAGAAAAAAATCAAGGGTGTGATTTGTTTCTATCTGTTAGGAAATTGATTGGATTGTGCGAAATGGATGTGCATGAAGTACAGGGTTTGGACAATGAAACCTGGTGGACAATCTTCACAAATTTTATATTTGAATTATTGTTCATAAAATATTTCAATCCACACAACATAATGGGAGACATTTCATAGTTCAAAAGAGGACAAATTGTATGTGCGTGTCTAGCTAGCTCATCCGTGACAGCAAGTTTCTGGGGTGTATCGCTATAGTATGCAGGGTAATGTTGGCATACCACCTGCCACGTAGGACGAACTTTAATAAATTATTGTGATCTTTTAGTTTAATTTTCCTAACCCCTATAGGGACAGTTGTGATTTTAGGTTGATTATATTGGTTAACCACATGTAAACATTTGTATTAACTGTGTAGTGCTGGGTGAGTGTGTTCTGTGTTGAGAGTAACTCTCTTTGTTTTTAAGGAGAAGAGGTAACCGATGAGATCAAATACACTGAAACAGGTGATTATCCCACCCTATCCATGTCTTCATTTATTTAATTTATTATGCTGTGTGGAAATATATGAAAGCCCGTTTCTGCCTTTGTATAAAAAATAGTTTACATTTCAGAATTCTGAGCACAAAACTCTGAATTGTAAACTTGCAATTCTGAGAAAACAACTAAGAATTGCTATTTTAACTCAAAATTGGAATCAGAAGAAATAAAGTTAGATTTTTTTAATAAATATAATTTATATTAAGTTTTTTATAGTAAATATTATGGGCTGTATGAACCATTTTAGGACAATTTTTCATTGAATATATTTGTCTTTTCAGATGAAGATTTTGAGTTCGGTAGGTAAGTCTTTTCTGAGGAAAGAGCATTTTCATTGAATGAGAGAATAGCTGCTTATTGTTTTGATGGTCCACTTTAGACATTCTACTATAAGTAACTTTGCAAATACATGTCAACTAGTCTTGCGTAGTCAGACCTTCAGACTGATGGCAGAAGGTCTGGACTTCTCAGCTTTCATTGGCCAAGGACCGGCCAAGAGGACGTCTGACCGACATGTAAAGCAATCAATCACAGTTTGTTTTGTTCCACATCATGTTTAGTGACATGAAAATGTAAAGTGCCTACGGTAACAGACTTGCATGCATCTTATAAATTATTCATACAAGAAAGATGTGCAAGTTTACAGCAACAATGATGCTGCGAATTTTTACTTGTGAAAATTCAGCATTTAGCTGATTCCGATGAGCGTTCCTTGTCACAGTTGTAAACACTCCATCTTCCATGAGGGGGTTTGACATCACAAGAATGTGATACGAGTATCCTGGAACTCCTGTAGAACTCAACCAATCAGATGACGACTTTGAAACTCCTGAAGTGTTTCCCATTTTGTGTGCCTTATGCATCAAACGTCTAAGCATGTCAACTTACTCATTAATTTGCAACTATATGCCAACTAACTCTCATTTGAGTTTTAGTAGACTGTTGTTAAGTTGACATGTAGTTGCAAATTTACTTATAGTCAGTGGAATGTCTGTTAGGGGACCATCACGATAAAGTGTTAGCAGACAGTATACTAATACTCTAATGATATGTAGTTCCAAAGTTACTTATTGTTAGCAGAATGTCTAGAATTTTAGTAGAATGTCTAGAATGAAGTGGAGTGTTACCTTTTAAGGGGGTTGTGTCTACCACGAAATTTACCCATGTATTTAATATGCATAATACATTTACTGACATTGTCAGTAGTTGATAAAACTGACAAATAATGAAATGTGCTTATGATGAAATCACCTTATGTTGACATGTAGTCCTTCTCTTTTGTCTTTTCATTGATCAACTGTATGTTTTGTCTAGTTTCAGAGGAGGGTGAGAATGGCGAACACATGCAGGGCTTATACATAGGTATGAAATCTAAGTGAATGTATGGTAAATTTCCATTTTGGATCATATAAACCCATACACATATATGAAAAGAGAATTGTTTGAAACAGCGGGGTTCCGGCACAGTCTGCGTGTGTGGAGGAGGAAATCGTACCTTAGACAAAAGCCGTCGTGTTATTCCTGCGGAGTCGGCATCTGCCATAACACTTCAGCCAACCTCTATGAAGAGGTGGTCCACTACCAGCGCCACATAGACGATCCCCCTCGTCTCATCGTGCTCATTGGTAGGGTCCCCTAAGTTGTACACGTCTTAACAGTCATACCTATAGATTAACTGACAATAACTATCATTTGGGATTGATTGATCTGAGTTTGACCCATTAATGCCTTAATGCAGGGTTGTCAAACTCAGTTCCTGGAGTGCCACGGCCCTGCAGAGTTTAGCTTCAACCCTAATTAAATGCACCTGATCCAGCGAATAAAGGTCTTCAGGATTACTAGAAACTTCCAGGATGGGGTTTTGGAGCACGTTGGAGCTAAACTCTGCAGGACAGTGGCCCTCGATGACTGGAGTTTTATACATGTGCCTGAATGCTTTTCCATGTTTTCCACAGGTCCATCGGGAGTTGGTGTAAATGAATTACGCAGGAGGCTAATCAAAATCAACCCTAATACGTACCAGGGACCAATATCTCGTATGTGGCCTCTTTAGTCCCTTTAATCTGTGACTTAAAATTGTTATAAGCAAGTTTTTGGGAATATCACGCAAAAAATGTCCCTACTACCCTCAAATATCACTGAGATGTCGAAATAAAAACTGGCTGCCATTATTTTTAAAGGGGTCATGAATCGACTTAAAAATCCTGGATCAATCAATTAAGCTGTCTACGCTGCACAATGGATCTCTTATTTACATTGTGTTGCACTCTACTGAATATGATGAAATTGCATTGGTGAGATCATTGCATTCTTGTGCTCAACAGACTTGATGGATAGGTTACAATGCTCAGAGCTGAAACTTATTATGCATTGGGAACAGATCTAAAATATAATGTTGTAATCAACACTTTTGGTAATTAGTCTCGGCAGATGTAATAGTAGAAACTGTAAAAGTTAAGTTCATTTCATCAACACAGCATTTCATGTCGTATACCAAATCTCATTTTGGTGAAAATAGTAGCTCATCTGGGTGTTCCAAGCATATAGAAAGTTTGCATACTGTGTATACACAGTAAGCATATTATATACTGCAGAAATACAAAGAGCAGTACGCTAACCCAAACATATAGGCTGAATCCGAAATCGCTCACTTCGTTAGTCCACTAATACTGCTCACTTGAAGGAGTAAATGAAAAGAAGTGAGCAAATTCGTTGCGTGTACATCGGTTGTACTCTCATTATTGCAGTGCAACGTGGTATTAAATTAGTGCACTCAGTAATGTCCACTATGATTTCGGACACCACTACAAATGGCTGTCCCCTCAAATAATGCCTTATTCGAGGGTATAGGAGAGCGATTTCAGATTCAGGCATAGTTTGGAGGACTGGGTTTTGGAGAGAGGCCACTTGATCATCTGAAATTGCTTACAGCACCTTACAAAACCTAATTTAACAAAATAATTACAACATGTCTATTGTTTTTCTCCAGACACAACACGTCCCCAAAATATGGGTGAGAAGAATGGCCGTGAATATCATTTTGTGTCCAAGGAAATCTTTGCACACATGGTGGTTAATTACAAGTAATCTTATCTTTTATGTTTTAAATACTCTAAAAATCTCTATAGATGATCTGGTCTTGTGATTTAACTTTTTTTTAAATATGTGTTTGTGTTTTTTTTGTGTGTTTTTTTTAACAATGTCAAGATTCCTCGAGTATGGAGAGGATAATGGTCACATGTACGGCACCAGCTTAGACTCAGTCAAAGATGTTTTGGACAATGGGAAAATATGTGTTATTGACCTTGAACCTAATGTAAGTCATTTATTTATCGAAACCAAACTTATGGTTTTGTCATTAATAAGGTTGCAAACAGTAATGCACATGCATGTCTCGGTTTATTCCAGTGCATTAATTCAGTCAGAACCAAGCAGCTGAAGCCCTACATCATATTTGTGCGGCCTCCGTCCCCTGAATGCATGAGGCAAACAAGAAAAGACCCACATTTTATTGCCAACAGCTACATTAAGAGATACTTTCATGTAAGATATGCATTTCATACATTTCTTTCTGAATAATAGATTGATAAGCTTCTATGTACAGAAGGAAAAGAGTTTTTTCAAGCTTTTTGATTGTAATGCAACATTTTCCTCTTGGTTTTCTCAGGATAAAGACTTTGAGGAGATCGAGGAAGCAAGCAGGGCCATGGAGGGCAAGTACCGTCAGTTCTTTGACTGCGTGATTGTGAACGACGATCTGCAAGATTCATGCATGGATCTGTTCACAGCTATACAACATGCTCAAGAAGAACCACAGTGGGTTCCTGCCAGCTGGTTTGTTCCTGCTCATCCATGACACACATTGGAACAAAGCAGGGAATTTTGTATCGTTAAAACGAATGTAAAAGAACTGAATTTCAAAAAAGCAAATGCCTTTGTGAGTAGTTTAGTCCTTGAGTAAAATCTATGGTTTCACTAGATCTAAATTGTTTCTATCTTGAAATCTATAGTTTTTTCTAGTGATTTAAACTGTTTACACTGGCGTAAAAAGAACTTTTAAAAAGTGTTAGCTACATGAAGAAACGTAAATGCAACAATTTTTTTGTCCAGCAAGAACAGTCACATGCGGTTGTTTCTCCAACTTTATTTTTGTCTTAAGTTAATCGTTTAGCCTTTTCCAATAAACATTTTGTGGTGTGGTAGATTATGTCTTTACTTATAAACAGAAGCCTTGGTTTTTAATAAATGTAATGTTTAAAACTAGCCTAGTGGATGGAGGAAAATATTTTTTGTTGATTTTTTAAAGAATATACCAAAGACATTTTAACCAAAGACATTTTAACTCGCTTTAGAGATATTTATGAATCTCCTCTTTCTGTCATTCATTAAGCATCTCTTATCATATTATTATTTGGCTATAGCCTACCTATTTTGTTGGCATGTCATCTTAAGAGTTTTATATATTGAAAAAAAAAAGGATCTCTTTTAAAAAATAAATCCATTTTAAAAATGAACACTGAGGGTGTACTTATTTGTTTCGAACACTTTGTTTATGTAGCCTACTAACGTTTTGTGTTAATTTGTTTGTTAATTAATTAATTAATTGAACATGCTGGATAAATGTGTATGATGATGTAACATTAGTTACTTACCGGTACTGTGGGGGAGCCACACTAATTCCCTTCTTGACCGATACGCGTCTGTGAGGATTAAGCTCAGGATTAGACAGCCTGACGACAAGACTCTTCTCCTCCTCTCACACCAACAACTCCTACACCACGACTGCAGCCAGAGAAGAATGGGAAGAAAACAAACTGTAAGTTACGCCACCGACGATTATAGCAGATCCTATCAGTCATTATGACAAGGCTACTGTGCTCCGTGGTGAGCCTTATACTAAACTAATGTGTGTAAAATTCGTCTCTCGATTTATTTGTAAACTTATTAGTATACGGTTTTATAGTAGGCTAAATATAAATCTGTCAGAATTAGTTGAATGGTCTGTTTACTTTTACACGTAATGGACTTATAGAACTAGTCCCATTTAACACTTCCTATTCTTTAACAAATCTTGGTAATTTGTTAACTGGGCTCTTGTGTAGGCTATTTAATATGTGGCTGATGTGTTTACATACTGATGTGTTTACATTGTGTGACCATGTGACCTGCTTATAATGTGGTATAATTAGACATTGCTCAAGACAAGATTTAACTACATAGCCTGTGTGTGTGTGTGTGTGTGGCCTGGTAAACTCTACATTATATGGGGGCAAAATGTCCCTAAAAGGATGACAATATCTGAAATCCTTGTCCTTGTGGTGCTTTCTTGATGCCATTTTTTTTTAATTTCCGTTGCATCATACTATTTTTTAAAAAAAATGTAAAATTGCAGAAAGTTATAGGGATGGGTAGGTTAGTGTAAGGGGTTAGAACCGTTTCTACTGTATAAAAATGTTTGTTTGTATGATTGTGTAGAGAGAGAATGAATGACACACACACACACACACACACACACACACATATATATATATATATATATATATGTGTGTGTGTGTGTGTGTGTGTGTGTGTGTGTGTGTGTGTGTGTGTGTGTGTGTTATAAAATGTATTATTTTGATTAAAAATTGGATTGTATTATTAGTTATTATTATTTGGATCATACTATTGTATTGTGCACACATTTCCAATGTATCGGTTCAAGTGAAAAGTATCTGGGTACAAACATCTAGCCTATACATCTTTAAAAAGTCAGTTTTACATATACATTCTGAATCATAAACATCTTGAAGATGTTTTATGAATGTCTATTTAACATCTGACATTAAATGTCTTAGAGACTTATTGCAGATGAGCAAAAACCTTTAAAAAAAAAAACATCTTGCAGATGAAAACACACACCAAATAAATGTCTCCAAGATGTACGTGTGCTATCAGCAAGCTTTAGTGTCATTGACTTGCTAACTGGTTAAAAGTGAGAGCTTAAGTCAGGCAGAAAGAAACAGTTCAGTGTTGTTAACCTAATTGGCCTCATAATCTTCTCTCAGTAAAGAGCTACATCCAGCATGAAGCTAATTTAAAGGAACATGCTCACTGTATGCGCACACATATTGACTTCAATTGGAAGAAGTGAAATGAGTCTCATATTCTTCATTTTGTTTCCATTCAGTCCTGATTTTCGGGTCTTTCACGTCAAGACACCAGAGGTCAGTTATCCTTGTTGAACATCTGATGGTGCGAACAGGAAGTTTTAATAAAATCAATTTAATTATTTGGCTTAGCCCTTGTAAATCTTCAAAGCCTGTACTCGTCAACGGTATTGATTGTACTTGAGTTGAGTCCTAGATTTCTGATCTAATTAGTATATTGTACTAGTGTAATTGTTGTAAGACTAAGCAGACTGTTACGCCCTTTACATATAGACAAAATGCCAAGTGTCAAAGCCAAGAAAAAGAAAATCAAGAAGGAGTTCAATGAAGTCGAGGAACCAGAAGGTAATTATAAACTACTTCTTCGATCTTAACAAGATGTCATTTCTTATCATGTATCAAATACTGTATATTTTTATTTTCACTGCTGGGCAAAAACATTCTAATGAAAGTCCATTTATGTGTAACATCGACCTCTGCAGGCAGGGACTGGGAGTGTAATAGTTCAAAAACCTTAGCCTTAGGCTTAGTGTTGTTAGTACATTTTGTGGTCCCATCTATTTATTAAGTGTCTTTAACCACTGTGTACTGAATACAATGCACTTATTGGGTATTTTTTTACATTGCACCTTTAAATCTAAAATTACCACCAAACCTTATCAGTATCCACCACCTCAATAGCAGCACAAGTGTTTTGCAATACAACATGAACTCAACAAGTAAGTACGTTGTACCTAACAATTATTATTTTATTTTTATGTAAATATAATAATGGTTAAAGACACTTAATATAAAGTGAGACCAAATTTGTAATAAGTCATTTTGTTTCCTTACAGCATTTGTCTCCTTTATATTTGTATAATGCACAATAAGCAACAGCAGGGCCTGAGGCAGCCATAGAAATGGAGGGTCTGGAGAGTCGCAGACAGTCTGAAAGCAGAGAGCCTCTGACCCCTGAGCCTCAAGACAATCCACCAATAAAGAAGAAGAAGAAAAAGAAGGCACAACATACTTTGGGTAATTAATTCATTTGAATGATATTCACTTTTTATTTAAGGGATGGATGTTATTTTCTTTTTTCGATGGATTGTTCTTGTTTCCATTGTTTTAAAAGAGCATGAGGGTGAGCAGCAAGACCATCCAAATGGAGATGTTCCAGAGCCCCATACAGACGGCGAGGAAGTCACCAAAAAAAGCAAGAGAAAAAAGTGAGAGGCAAATACTTATAGAAAAGAAAGGGGATAGAACTAAAAGCAGTAGTTTCGTAGCAATTTTGATTGTATTATTTTCTAGTGGGAGTAGTGTTCCCTTCTTTTTTAAGGAAGGCTAAGACGATGGAAAACCAGCCTCATAACGAGCTAGGTGTGGAGGAAGATGACATCATCACTGATGTGCATGCACCCATATCTCAGCGCTCTCTATTCTCAGCCCCTCTCGGTCACAGTCATCCAATGGGAAAAGTGTTCGTCGAAAAGAACCGTGAGTTTCATTTTGAGATGGGGGAAATATCTGAAGTACACTCCAGGGCAAAAAAAAAATGGGCCAAGCCAAAAATGGCAAAATATTTAGTGGTCTTTTTGTGATCTTTACCATTTTAGTGACAAATCACTGGTCAGGAAAGTAGCAAGAATTGCACAAATACTGTAGATAAAGTAACTTGGAATAGCTTTCAAAAACTTGCAGACAGGTGTTCCACTTTTAGAAAAAAAGACTCATATTCTTATAATTGCAGATAAATACAATAAAAAAGACATATAAAAGTATTATGTTTAAATTATATGTAAATGAAATATGACATCCAACCTAGGCCGCTTCCAGGCGACTGATCGTCTGGATTTATCCGGTGAACATCTGGAGGAGTACATGGAGGTCAGACCTATGTGGAATACACGAGATGTTGCCATGAGGGTCCACACCGGCTTCAGGTGAGTTTAGTTGAGAGATGGTCTCAAACTGTCTTATAGCTCTTGTCAATGCTAATTCAACCAAATGTGATTCAGTTTCCAAACAGGAAACTTTTATCATTTAACTTTTTAGTTTCAATTTGAGTTAAAGTTAGTTTGTCCAGTACTCATCATGACCATGCCTCTTCATTTTGTGGAGCTTAATGTTGTTTGAGGATGAAATAAGTCTGCAAAGTTACAAAACACAAAGACTCCCTCCAAAGGGAGTTATTCTCTCACTGTTTCTGAACTCCCTGAAATGCCTCCATTGTAGTCTTGAGTTTTGTACCTGTAATGGACACATCAGAGTATTCCTCATTTTAAAAATTCCTCTGCCCATGGCATACACACAAAGTTGTGTTAGTAGTGTGTTGAAACTCACGGTTATTGTAAGGGTCATGACATTTCTAAAACACACTCAAAGAGGTTGGTTGACCAATCACAACAGACTTGACCAGCTAACTAAGAGACAGAGGTTCTGCAACATTGTAAAATATGTGAAAAATAATGTGTTTAAACATTAAAGCATGAAAACCTATTCATGTAGACCCTGAAAACAAAATCAAGACTTTGTAAAAAGGCATAATAGGGCATCTTTAATGACATGTAATGTGCAAATGTGTGGTTCATTCCAAATAGGAGCTCAACTGTTTTTTCTGTGGTTCTTGTAGGATCATTGGACTCTTCTCTCATGGATTTCTGTCTGGATATGCGGTGTGGAACATCATTGTTGTGTATGTGTTAGCTGGAGAGCAGATGACCACACTACCCAACCTGCTCCAGCAGTACCACAGTCTGGCTTACCCAGCACAGTCTCTGCTCTACCTCCTGCTGGCCATCAGCACCGTGTCTGCCTTCGACAGGTGTGTGTGGACCTGTAGTAAGAGAAGTGTGAATGTAACTGACAGCAGTACGTACAATACATAACCTTAAACTTCAATTTAAAGGGATACTCCACCATTTTCTTGCTCCCAAGCACTTGCTGTGGTATTCCGCCATACATTATAGTTATCCACTTTACATGCTTAGAAAAGTGCAACTTTTTATTTTGTGTCACCATTCCTGGTCGAATTACACTACTCGTGTTACTGAATTTAAATAAGGAGAATGTGGAGATGTTGGTCACTTCTCTGATTGGATCCTAATAAATCAATTGGGCTAAGCTAAGTGCTATCAAAGTGTCTCGCCCGCCAGAACGATTGAGTGCATGCACTGAGATGAGAGAGGTGTGTATCAACTCATCTTAGTAAAAGGCAAAACATAGTTTAATATGAAAAAAAAAAATGGTGGAGTATCCCTTTAACATTTTATTTCATTGAGCAGATTTATTTATTCCAATCTACTAAATGTTGTCCTTCCACCAGTGATTCCCTAACATTTTTTTTGTCAGCCAAGTTTAAAATCTAAACTATTTATTTG